TGAGGATAATTTTTCTAATGTGATTACTTTTTTATTTAATGTTATTGAGTCTTGAGAAAAAGAATATATTATATTTTATCAAGTTTTCTTGAGATAAATTTGCAGTTTATATAAGTTCTTTAGAGATATATTACATGTATTTTTAATATAACGAAAAAATTACATATTTTTTTATATTGTATTTGAAAATAAAAGTTTAGCGACAATTTAGAACCTGGATAAAAATTATTTCAATAAGATAAAATGAGAAAAAATTTTCAATTAAATTATAAAATTGTATTTTTAAATATAAATATTGAACAATTTTGTATACATTTATTTTTATACGGAACATATAAATTCTCAGTGCCAGTCATTTTTTGCGGAGATTGTACACTCGATATATCCTTAATTCTTTATTTACTATATGACGAGGTAATTAATAACTTTTTGGTTTTTAGTTTTTATTAAATATGTGATTTATTTGAATCCAAATCATAAATACACACTTAATCATTTATTTGCCATATATAACGAGATGTTTGATCAATTTTTACTGCTTTTAATTCTTATCTAATTTTGTAAAAAATAAATACTTGTGTGTAGAAATTCAATTTATTTGCGTTTATGTAAGCTCGTCACGTTTCTAGATAAATACGAATTTGTATAAAAATATTTAATAATACTTTGCGAAATATCACAAAAGCGTAATAAGCATTCTGCCCGCTTATATCCACCGTTGCTTATTCATTCATCCGTTTGTTTGTACACTCAACCATTCACTTCGTTGTCTCAGTCATACGTTCAATCTATGGCGCATTCATTCGTTGAAGCCAGTCATGCACATTCTTCCCTCGTCATTTCATTAACTAATTACGACAAATGAAATAGCAGAGTAACTCGTGCACGTATGTGTTATTTCTCAGCTTATATTGCAATTACTATTTTATTGCATTGTAATATTGTAGGAAAAATAAATAAATAAGCAAATATTTGAAAAATATCGCGAGATAATTCAATTTCTTATCTAAAAATTTCTTTTAATTTATTTTACTGATATCCAGAAAGAAACGCAAATGATGCGATATACGATGATGAATTGGTTGATCGGTATCGAAAATGCATGCAAATAAAACTTCTTTTTGGCCGGCCCGATTCAATCTATATGCAAAAACAATTAAATTGCTTCCGGAGTATATTTTATAGCGCTCTCTTTGTCCTTCCTCTCTACTCGAGAGGCTTTTCAAGGAGGCATTCCAGGTACGACTGGGCGGAACATCTATACTATTTACTGTCGGACTTTCCGAAAGAGAGAATTTTCGTTCGACGTCAATAACGTGTAAGCCGACATATTTAAAAGTCGTGAAATTGAATATATTTTTTATTAAAAATAAAAAACAAATATATATTTTTATTCGGGCATTCAGATAATCTCACGTTAACGTAACACTTATTCTTACGTTTACGTGAAGAGGAAAGTAAGAAAAAACAAGTCGAGCACAACTTCGATTCGTTACAACCGGGCTAAAAAAAGTTAAAAGAGTGAAACTCTCGCCTGGATGGTCCTAAAAGGGTGCTATTTCACGTTAGCACCAAGCGGTCTGCGTTAAGCCGGTCCACGTCACCTAACAGGGTCGTTAAAATGACAGTAAATGCTTCAGCGGGTGCCGAAGCGGACGACGAACGACGAGAAGTCATACGTCAAAATTAATGACCGTTGTTACCCCGATTCTTCGGGGCATATAACGCACGCTTCGTCCCTTCTTGTTAATTATCGACACTTCTGTCGTGCTCTCTTTGTTCCGTAAGATTTAGGTTTCTTTCGTCTCATTCCCCAACCTGATTTGGAGACTCGCGCGAGCGCTTGATACTTTCAAAAGCCCGGTATAATAAATATCAGCTTGTTTCGTTTTTCCCACGGGATAACTTTTGCAGCTTGCTCGCATAAATTGCCAGAACGAGATTGAATTGGCAACGATGAAGATTAAATTAACCTTTAGGGGGATCCTAAAGTCGTCTGTTTTACCGATTCAATAGGACTTACAAACATACGATTTACGTGTCATTGACACATCATTTCGCATTACTACATGAATATCGCATACATATGCAGCGTTGCATATGTACTTTTACGAGAAGCAAACGTACGAGTCGCTTTTTTACTGGTCGGGAAAAAAAAAAGAAAAAAAAAACAGGGAAGGACCGCGTACGAGGGTGGTCCGTTCACCGGACCAGAATTGTTAATTATCGATGCTTTCGCATTTGCGCGCTTTTGTTCTCGCCTCTCCTACCGCAAGAGCGTTCGTCCTCGCCGTGAAGAGTGCCCAAGAGTACCTTAAAGAGCTCTCGTTTCAACCGCTGATGAAAATACTTAAGTGAAACCGCTGGCACGCGCCAAGATATCCGGAGAGAAGAAATCGAGCGTTTAGATGCTATCTTTTTGAATCGCATATCGCATTCCTTCTTTCAATTTTACCTGTACATTTTATACCGCACACATATATATAGTATAAACGTACGCGTTTTCCACGAGACGTGCATGTAAATTTTAACGCTGAACCAATTTTTCTTATGACGTTCTGGAGAGATCGTGGCCTCGACGAATGCTTTTCTTCGACGAATATTTTTCCGTGAACGTTGTATGGATCAATACAAAGAAGGCTCTGTTTCCCTTTGCCTTTTCGTTTTACGGAGAACAGCTCCGCTACTGATTGTACTATCTATTTCTACGGTGGATCATTATAGAAACAATCAGCACAAGTTTCTTCAACATGTTTCCTCGAACGTATCGCAATTCTCCACCCTGTCGTGATTCGGACGGATTACTTTTCACCTCGCTTTTCACGGAAGGAATGGTCACAAATCGCTGTTCGTCCTCCGCAATCATTCCCTGTGCTTAAGGGAATCTCAAAGTCGTCTATTGTGTTTTACTGATTATTTTTGAGGAGCCATTTAAGTTACTCATGAAAAGCTAATGCCGTCCTAGTACGCTAGTTTTCAAGGAGAATTGATCTTTTCGCGGTAGATTTATAGAAGAAGCGTATTATTAAAAAGGACAACTTGATTAACTTAAGAAAAACTCCATTAGTGGGAGAGTAACTTATCATAGATCACAAAAGGGTTGGATTTAACGTACCCTGGTATTATTACGGGATTACTCGGGAGTAATTTTAACAAAACCAATTCTGTTTGCGAAGAAGTAGCGGCGGTGGTTTTAATCGCGTATTCATTCGCGACCACGCGACTCCGCGAAATTTTTCTGATGCTAATTACACCGTGGCTTTAACGTCGACTGTAAAAAAGAGCTTTGGACCAAACGATCTTCCGCGGCGAAAGAGAATATTCCTCCGATTGTCGTTTTATCCTCCTTGAACATTGTCTCAAATTAGTACCTAATTAGTACCTAATATGGCTGTTAATTACTATTATTAAAAATATGAAATGCGAGCGATATAAAATATGTGTATTATTGCATAGTACGTGATAATTCTAGCGAGACTTGCGAGAGACTTTACGACACATTTGTTGATTACTGTCTTGTCTCCGTGTTTATTAAATTATTGTATTTATATTTGTCTCTTTCAAGTCTGTTTTTATTGAATATATTTTTTGTACGCGTGCATAATTTTAAATTAAGGTGAAATGTCTATATATGATATGGCATTAATATGACATACCTTTATGTTCTGTTTAAAAGATAAAGAGAGATAACGATAATTAGCATAACAAGTCAGTAATGATATATTGCTCATTTAAGATAAATTATTACTATTATCATAAATAACATACGATAAAAATAAAATTATAGTAACAAAACATTTTTCAAAAATAGACAAATTTTAAATAATTTATTTGTATATATAAAAAATTGTATATTATATATATATATATTTGTATAAATAAAAAATTATATTTTAAAATTATATTTTATATAATATTATACGAATAAATATACTCGTTTATGTACATTTAATTTTAATCAAATTAGTTTCGTACTACATATCAAGTCTTATGTGCAACCATATTTATTTGTCACTGCAAACACAATAATCTCACATCTTAGCGTCGCAGCATCGATCAAAACAACTTGCAACTTGCTTGCCTGACATTCCCTAATTACTACACGAACCTAATTATCTAATGATAAACTTAATAGATAAATGTCAATATTACACAAATACAAATATTGGTCATAAACTCGCGGCCACGCATTGATCCATTTCTCACGGTATATTGCAAAGCTACTCGTTAAATTTTCGCTGCAATTACATTGCAGATTAAAAAAAATCAATATTATGTGTATGAGCATATAATTATACTAAATAATAATTTCTTACGTATTATATATTCATATTTTTTTATCATCAGGATTTTACAACGTCAGAGACGTTGATACCTCTGATGATAAATAATTTTAAAATTAATTCTAATAGAAGCACAGTTAAGATAGCAGGATTTCTTTTATTCTGCCTAATTTATAAGTTTAAAAGATTAATTAATATTTCTGAACGAACTATATTATGCATCGCATAATCCCTTGGCAACTAAATCTTAATGTTAAAACACTGATCTTTCTATAAAGCCATTAAAATAATATTAGTTAAATTAATATTAATAAAATATTGATCTTGGATTTGAATTACCGATTTAATTAATTGAAAATAACAGAATTGGAAATGTCGATTTAAAATTAAGAGTCATGTTTGCGAGGCTCGAGAGTCGAAGACTCTCATAATAACTATCGTGTACCTCTCTGCGTTCGCAGAGTAAATCATGTCTCATTTTGATTTCGATGTGGCATGTCTCGATATAATTGTGCCCGATGGTCGCATGTAACAGTAAGGAAGCAGCGAACAAAACTTAATTGAGCAGAAGCTTGATATAGTAACCCTCTTCCCCGTGTACGTACCCCTCCCCCTCCCATCAGTGCTCGAAGGCCGAACGTGCACGCGGGGTATATCAAAGTGAGTACTCTTCGACCGTCGCCATGCATTGATCCGTTTGTCTCCTGGTGCTTTCAGTGAGCGGGAGGACGGGGACCGGCGGTGCGCCCCTTTACGGGCGCCTGGTGGCCGAGGAGCCCATGCCCTCCGCGGTATGCGGTGGAGCCGGTGCCGCGGGTGGCGGGGCTGCCGGCGGGGTTCCACAGGAGACCCCCTCGGACGCGTCCACCTCATCAAGACCTACAAGCACATCAACGAGGTAAGAACTCCGTTGTCACGACTTACCTGCGAAAAGCTCCATGCTACAAAGTTTACGTTTTCTTGCGAATAATTTCTTTTTTTAAAACGTCAATTAAATTTTATTTATCTCTACACTTAAATTGTGTGTATATAATACTTAAATATAATATATATATATATATATATATACACCTAGTTATAATTATATATAATTATTACTACAATGATGAAATATCACATCACAAAAATTTTACGATGTGCTATAATCGTGACGACAAGATACGAGATTCCATAATACCGATAGCTTATCAGACTGCACCAGTTAATTCTACCTTTCATGTAAATTGTTCAAAGTTTTTCGGAATTTGGAATGATTTTTTATCACTGAAGGAGCGCATTTTACGAGCACATTATGCTCTTGTATCAATTAAGGCGCCATGATGATTCGAAAATAAAGTTACTAACATATATCGTTTGTTCAGATATTCTCACATTTTGTGCGAGACGTGATGGACGTCTCCTTATATTTTGATTATAAGAAAATATTGCTATTGGAACATCATTTATGTCATTATCGGTGAAGGAGAAAGAAAGGCGTCATTATCGCTGTGGAAACTTTCGATTTCCGGCATTTGTAGCTTCTTTGATAACCTGCAAATGGGAATATATATATATCTATATTTATATATTTATTGAAGACAAATAGATGTCTAGAAATTTTGTACTTACAGTTTGAATTTTATCTCGGACTTAAAATGATCTAATCTTTGTGTAAATATTACAAATTATTTTGTGTTTTATTTAATATTGCAATTTATAATCTATTTCATATTGAGAAAACGGTATACTAAGAAGAATAATTTGAAAAGCAATTTTATTATTATTTTTTTGATAATACTTTTGATAATACTATCGATCATAAATAATTTTATTTTATCATATTTACGCACCTATTTACACTTATTTATCATATATTTATTATGCGGTTAAACGTTATCTTTCTCAATAACATGCAACATTTTTCTCATTTCTCAAATACCATTCTGAAACTATTTATGGATTTGGAATCGAATCTTCCGGATTAAATTCCATCAATCTAGTTGTAATCTTCTACCGAAACTTCCTCATATTATTTTTACGCGTATTTTGTTGCACAGAAGGAACAATTTTGCTAAAGTATTTAAAAATTTATCTAGATATAGATCTGAAAATAATTTTGTTGGCCTATAAAAATAATTCGATATTCTAGCAATTAGCTTGAGCGTCCTACATTCCTACATCCTAATTATTTTGATAGTCTAACAAAAATATTTTCAGATCTATATCTAATTAAATTTTTAGATACTTGAAGTACTGTTTTTTTCCATGTGGAAGTTTATTTGGGCACCACTTACAAAAAAATCAAATTGATAAGCGATTTGATCGCAATTATCGAATGTAAATAACATCGTGATAAGACCAAACGTTATGTTTCTGACATTAAAATTTTCGAACGAAGAAGCTGATAGTATTTATTTGCACAAGGACTACGTGGATTGTTTACCTTCCGTTATCGAGCGATTATAACGTGTGGACGAATAAACAACGTCGCGAAATCATCAGATCATATGAAGGGTGGGAAGAGAAAATTCGTCACGATAGCTTGAGGTTCATGAAATATGAATCTCGATCTTCGCGATCTATTCTGCTGCCAGATTTAACCTTGAAAGTCATGCACACACAAAGAAGCTATAATAAAAATTATAATGAAATTCTTGTTATTCTGGAATATACTGATTATAACAGAAATTATACAATATTTTTCTTCAAAAAAATGACATACATTTTACTTCTTATAAAATAATTGCTATAATAATAATTAACAGTTTATTTATAAATACATAACAAATTCCTATGTCGGTAGTAGAATTCAAAACAAAATGTCTTGTAACACGAATCGTAATTTGTACTATGTAATTAGTACAAATACATATTCTAGCTTTGCAACAAAACATCATAAAAATATGTATAATTTTTCAATATTTAGAATAACTGCACGATATTTTCTCCGTGGGAGATAAAAATGGGAATCGCGCCTACGCGAGAGACGAGATTTCGAAGAATCAGATCGTTCCGACGCGGAATGAACATGGAAGAGTACAGGTTCCATAAATGGGCCTTGTAAAAAAAAGTTACCGCATCGTGGAAATTTCATTTCGGTTCCGTAACATCGATGACGCGTCACAGGCTCTGTTCGAAATCAGATTTGCAAGATGTAGGCGACATGTTGCCCATTATCGCTTAAAAGGTAACTTGTGATGAGTAGACCTTTTCTTAACCAAATTTCTTTTACAGTTCTTTTTTTTTCCTTTTTTTTGAAAGGAGAAAAAAATGAATCGTGCAAGATCAGCTAAAAAGCTTACACTCTCAAATTTCTTGAAGTGAAATTTCACTCCAAGAGTGAAAATTTGCCACTCTTATTCAAGTGTGCAAATTTTTCACTCTTTTTTAATAGTGGCAATATTTTAATTCTTTTGGAGCAAGAGATCCTAAATTTTTTCATTCCAAGAAATTTAGAAAGCAAGTTGCTTAAAAGGCGACATGTCGCCTCATCTGGCAACTCTGACGGAAATAATAGGCGATGTTAGACCGCAGCGCGATAAGGTGCGCTGAGTAATCGAGGATATTTATTACCAAGCGATTCTGCATTATTCGATTAATCCCCGATTAGATCACCTTCCGATTAGATCACGCGACAATTGCGTACGTGTATAGATCGACGATCGCGATCGATATAAAGAAAGCCGGGTTAAGCTAGCGAGCGCTGTTAAATTCACATTACATTCAATTTCAATTATTTTTAATCATTTCAATAAATCGTTACTGTATTCTTTCTCCATACGTCGTTAATTTAACTAGAACAATGGAATTAAACAATTTAACTCAAGAAAATGTATTACTTTGGCTCAAATTTTATTTATTATTTAAGTTGCATACGTCAATATGGACATTTGCTTTGAAACTAACTATAATAGAAAGGGATTGACTTATATTTCGACATTTACATTTTGACATTTTACACATGAAAGTTAAAAATATTGAAACGTTATTTAACTCGTTATTTAAGAGATTAAATTAACATTGCTTCTTCGATATCTAATGGTGAGTCCTAACAAATACGAAGCAACCCCCTCTTTTCTTCAAGGGTTGTTCGTTCGCATTTGTTCACGCTCGTTCGCTCGTTCGCTCGCTCGATCCGGATCCGGATGCTGTAGTAGGTAAACGACGATCCGTATTCCCGACGGACGAATTGTATCGACGAACGCGTGCACGTCTCACGTCTCGAGCTGATAAAACACGCGGCGCACTATCGCGTCGTCGAAGCCGTACGTTTTATCGGCATGTTACGAGAGAGGTAACGATGGCGCGCCATCAATCGTCAGGTGATTACGCAGTCCTCGCGAGGCGCCGCGATTTATCCATAACGATACCCGCGCGATCGATCGTGCCCGATCGAAGAGCAATAAAGTGAATGGCGGGGGCGGGAGAACATGTCAGGGCTCCGTCGCGTCGCTATTTATGGATCGACGACGATATATGGCAATTATGCGGAATGCGAGAGTCCATCGCAGCGGTAGAACCTCTTCGTTGTCGATTCTTTGAATTCTTTACGGATAAATCATTCACCGATTCAATCTCGTTGCGTGAGGCGCGCGGGCTCGTCACGTGGTCTCTTCGGTTATTGAACGAGAGACGAGCAAAATGGGCACACGCCGATCGCGCGACAAAGAGAAGGCTTTATGTCTCTTGGAACCATCTCTCGAAATTGTTCAAGGTGTTTTGAAAATTGGATAGCTGTGGGGCGCAATGAGGTCAAATGCGTCATATTCGGCCTTATTGAAGCAGTTTTAGTAATTTTGAAAAGTGGTAATTTTCCACAGGACTGGAGCGTACTCTTCCAAGTCATTCTGTGCGTCAATATAGTACCAAACGTATCCAAAGAACATCGTGAACTCCTTTCGCTAAAATTTTGCAATTTTATATTCACGCCACGTATTCTTGCGACTGGTATCTCAGACTGGAGTTTTATCGAAGTAAGGTCTAAAATTAATTCAATGCGGCTTTATTACGTCCGGAAACTTAGTCCAGAGATCTCTTATTTTTAATTGCGTTACGATTAACGACAAACTGGCACAATTATTGACGACAAAGTTACGAAGGTAATAATCCGTTTGGAAACTTTCGCGTCATGATGCGTTTCTCTTAGTCTCGACCAACTCGTCGATCGATCGGCGCGAGAACCCGGTCAAAAACCTGGAGAAGTGACACGAGATTTGCGCTTGGTAACCCAAGTGGCCGGCCAAAGCCATTAACACATCCTGAGTGGTAACTGGTAAGCGATCGCGAAGAAGGCTGCGAAAAGAAAAGGGGAACAACGGCAGAGAGATGTGAGAGAGAGAGAGAGAGAGAGCTCGACTAGGAGATGGAGGGAGAAAGGTGAAAGAAGAAGCGCGTGCCGGAGCCAGGGGTTCGGGGACACCGGGGGATGGAGTATGGAGCCTGTAGCTCGTTCGGTGCATTCCAGTGGTACGAGGTCCGTCGACGCCGGAATCCTGCATATCCGTGGATGCAGGTCGACTAGCTATGCGCTTAGGTGCCAGCCGTGCCGACTCCGTGCCGGTCCATGGCGGTGCGGTCTCTCTAGCGGCCGGTTCGCACCGATTATTCGTGGTATCATGAGTTCCGGGAAAAAGAGACCGGATATTAACTTACTCTCTTTCCCCCTCCGCGAAAAATCCGTGATGAGCGTGCGTCTTATCTGGTCGCGCTCGTACGCGTCTCGTTCACTGTTTATGTCTTGGAACCTACTGTAAGGAATCCCGTTTCCCAACAATTTAACGTGTACTTTTCAGATGTACATTGTGGGTGCATTTCATTTGGTGACGCAAGTCTACCCAAGTATCGTTATGTCTTTGTTACTCATGGAATGTCAAGAAAGATGAAACGACATTTGTGTCGATTTGTCTTTTGAAATGGAATGGCCTCTGTTGTGTACGCGGAAAGAACGATTGAAATATCTAAAAATTTAACTACTGCAGCAACCAATCTTTTCTTTCAGTATAGATATAAATCTGAAAATAACTTTTATTAGACTGTCAAAATAATTATATAGAACGCTCTAAGATGTCAAAACTTTGAAACATTGCTGTTTCAGCGTCCTACATAATCATTCTGATGGTTTATTAAAATTATTTTTAAATCTACATCTAGCTAAATTTTTAAATACTTTAGCAAAATTATTTTACTCGCGTAGACATCTGTAAAAAAAAAATCTTGTCCTTCAAAAGTCTTTAAACACTTTAACATCGCTTGTCTTTGACTCGATGGCAAAACTGATCATTGTTCTTTCGAACTGATTGTGAATGTTAGGTTCTAGGAAGTGTGTGTCATTAGGAGGATAAAAATGAATTAGGATCCGCCATGAAATCATTTTTGTTGCGAACTAAACGAGAGGGCAATCTCTCGTTGTGAACCTGTTGCATGTTTCGACATTGTAATTTTTATGCTGAGGCACAGCAGGTACGGATAATGACGGATTTAGGCGGACGCTAAAGATTTTGATCTATAATGAACGCGTAATAACGGAGGGGTTGGCATTATCGTGCGCGATGTAGAGCGCAATGATCGATAAAAACGCAACGATTTACGCCCTAACGTTCGCTTCAAGCCGCTGAATATTTTATAAACGGTTATTTTCAGCAATGCTACGGTAATATAGCGGTAAAATATTTATATATACGATCATCGTACATTACATTAGTATTAACCCTCCGAGCACATCATTAGGAAATGCAAACAGAATTTTTTTCTTGTGCCATAATAAATAATTTTTATATTAAAAATATTGTGCGAATTGGATTGCGCTCCTCTGTTGTGTGTGTGTGTGTGTGTGTTGTGTGTGTGTGTTGTGTGTGTATGTATACCATATTTATCTAATGAAACGTAAAGAATAATAAATTTCAATAACAAAAAGATTAAAGCTTTCAAACAAAATAAAAAATAAACAGAAATGATCATCAAAGCCGACGCAAGATCTTTTTCGCGAGTAATTATATTCAATAATAAATTCATTTACATGTTCTGTTTTATCTTAATCACTTGAGCAATTTTTTTTTAAAGAAAATGGATTTGATTGGATATAATTTTGTATACAGGATGATAAGAAGATTTGTATGACAAAGTTTTGTGTGTTTATCAGATCCTTACTTAAATAGTAAGCTAACGTTATTTGTCATCATTTTGATGTTAAAATAATATTAAAGACGGTATTTTAACATTAAAATGACGATAACATCAATTTATTACTTGAGTGATATATTTCAAAAAACTCTGGAGTATTTGTAGACTTTATATTAAATATTAAACAGTTTAAACCAAAAGACTTTGGTTGATGAACTGAAGACTGCTCTATTGCCTATCTGGAAGAATTTATTCAGTGGATATTTGTGCAGTTATGATTGATGTTCCTGAAGCGCTTTTATCAAAGCTAAAGAAGATAGCTATTTTGAATATTGAATTATTTTATTTTTGATATTTAATAAGATATAAATAATAATCCAGAATTCGCTTTTTGTGAGTGTATACTTTACTAATGATTTAGTAAAAAAACACAAAACTTTGCAGCCAAACTTTTTTGATAGCCTGCAATTTAATTATGAAATACTTGGGCGAATAAGGAACAAGGTGTCAAGATTTCGTTCAAATTGAACCATAGATATTTCGACGCCGCATCCATCACGGAGTCAGAATTATCCCTCGTGAACATCGACATACGTGGACAAATAGGGAACACTTCGAATCCTACTCGGCACATCGAGTCGAAAGCCAATAAAGTCAATTCACGCGGCGGGAGAACAATGGACAAGACCGCGAAATATTTAACATATATACGAGAGAAGCGCACCGTCTGTCTTTCCGCACCGTAGCACCGAGCCGGCACTTTGTTTCGCGAGTTTGCGAGATCGAAGCGATGCGCGAGCTCGTGTTGCGAGACAGACGCGGAAAAGGAGAAGACGCGGGTAGGAAAATAGTCTGAGAGTGCTCTCTCTTTCTCTCTCTCTCTCTCTCTCTCTCTCCATTTCTCTTTCCGGCAGTTCTCGGAATCGGCCGATGTCTTTTACCGAAGGGCACGATGCGCCACTCCCTAAAAGTTCGCGCTCTCTCCCTGCAGAATCCGTAATATCGTTCTTCGGAAAGTCACCGGAGAAAATTACGCCGCGAGCCATTTTTGCAAAATGACATTTTAGCTTTATTATCGATCGCGCTCTAATCCTGGCGCACTGTCGCCGTCACAAATCCAAATCGCACATTTTCGCAGAAATTATATACACTGACAAATTTACATCGATATACTTGGCTTACACATGGACAGCATTTATTTTTAAAAGTGGCATGTGAGACCAGCAAAACCGAAATCTTGCTCGAAATCGATATACTGTACATATGATATACACATTGAAATTGTAGTCAAGCCACTCCATTTTGTCGGCTATTTTTGAAATATGGTAAGTGGCTCATTTACATAAATTTGCTGCGTTTCAAAATTTATATTTGACATAATATGCTATTTTATGTCACTTTATGTGATATGCCTGTGTTTTTAACATCTTAATAATTGGTTAATAATTTATTAATAATCAAACAATACACGATATATATTATATTATAAAGCAATAACTTTGTGGAATGCGTTTTGCTATTGGATCGCGCATATCGAGAAGTCATCGCGAGAGAATGCATATAGCGTTCGTTAAAATCGATTAACATGAAACGATCATGCGCTTAACTTTGTGGCTTCCGGCCCGATGCGAGGAATAAGCCTGAATTATACTCATACTATTTTGGATTTTGCTTCGATGAGCCACAACGTGGAATCGGGCAGCGGCACCGGTTAAATTTAAATTCAAACGGCGTTTAAATTTGAAATTAAATCGGTTGCAACCTGACCCGAGGGTCATGGGTCGAAAGTGCAACCACCGCGCGTCCTTTCGGGCCGCTCATTCGCGGCTCCTTCCTTGCCGCCCGATGCTGGACTTATTCGTTAGTTACTTACAGAAGAGAAAGAACCACTTGCACACATATATATATATGTATATATATATAGAGCGATAATAATTCATAATTTAAAAAATGATAATTGTTTCGATACTCTTGGAAATGGTTGCGTCACTTTTAAGAACGGCATATATTGTTCCGAAAAAGATCGATGAGCGGGCGTTGACTCGGACGTTCGGCCATTGACACATTTTCGTCTTTACGCCGCGAGGTAGCAATTTGCAGAATAAACGCCGCGTAACGTACTCGTGATACACGATGAAAAAGAAAGAAAGAAAAAAAAGAAAAAAAGAGAGAGCGAGTTTTATAAGACCCGACCACACGACCGTAGGTCGTGCATTTAAGTTAAGGGGTGGCAACGACGAAGAATCGAATCCCATCGCTCGAGGTGCTCGTCACAAGTCAGAATAGCTTCGCGAATAATTAAAGACGACCCAGATGCAGAGTCCGCTCGTCTCGTGTGTACGTACGTAATGTCCCGTACTGCACACTGGAGACTGCATGCACTCAGGAGAGGAGACTCTTCAAGTTCGGTGCGATTGCACCGACGAGAGAACCTCGCCAATCTCGCGGAGTTTGATTCTAATGAAACCCTTATACAATATTCGTAAAGCGAAGGGCCTAGTATAAACTACGAAGCTAGTTAGCGCGCGTGGATGAAAATAATATTAATCCTCCTAAAGTAAATTTTCATGAAAAGTAAGTAGTTAGAACCCCATGCTGTTTTATTGTTCATTTAATCAATGTAAAAAATGGGTAAAAAGAAGTATAATAAATACAAAAAGTATTAATGAAGGCGATATTACAGGGGAAATAATATATTAAAAAAAAACCTCTTTGAAAAAGTAAACATTAATTAGCAATTTATTAACAACGAATAAATAAACTGATATATCTCAAAATTATTTTACCTAAAAAGACGTGTAATAACTAAAATACATTATCTTAATAGTAAGGGAAAATGAATTTGTTATTTAGACACACAAAAAATATTTTTATAATCAAGAAATTTAACTTCTAAGCTGTTTATATTCGACGGAACGTACTCATTATAAAAAATTACTAATTAATATTTATTTTCTACGAATAAGATTTTTATATAAAAATTTCTCTGAATATTTTTTGCACTCTCTATAAATAATATATATTATGAAACTTGTTTTGTTAAATAATGCATGGACATTGCAAAATAGACGAAGTCGAGAGTTGTATCCTTTTAGTAAAAGAGGGTTAAAAGCAGAAAGGATAATTGTCTATATTATATTTTTGCATTTGATGCTTAAGAATGCGTTAAAAGATGCTTTGCATTAAGGCTCTGTTTTATGCATATCGCATAATGCAGCGGTGCGAGAGAGAGGGGGAGAGAGAGAGAGAGAGAGAGAGAGAGAGAGAGAGAGAGAGAGAGAGAGAGAGAGCTGTTGATAGAAGTCATCTTTGAAAGTGTTTTCTCATTTTCTACGAAGTCCTTGTAGACGATGTAGCCTGTTTCGGCGGTATCCGCTTGTGTTCACTTGTCTGTGTGCGAATGCGTATTCGCTCAACGCCATAATGCGGGAGAGATATTCAAGGTCTCCGACCAAAAGAAGATGCGGGAATCGGGTTGAGACTGCGTGAGATTAAAAGCC